TCAGCTTCATGCAGTTCTGATAAACCGATGCGGCCAGCGTCACCGCTCGAGAGTTCTTCTTTCCGTCACTTTCGGCGTTGAACTTGGTCAGCAGCTCTCGAATCTGCTCGTCCAGCCGGTCTTCCATTTCGGTGAATAGCCACACCGAGGTTTTGTCTTCGGGAATTGACTTGCCTTTCCAGGCGCCGCAGGTGAACTCCCAAAAGTCTTCACACGGGTCGGCGGTGGCGTTCATCGAGTCGACGAAGTGCTTGGCCGTCTCTTTGCACACTGCACTGGAGCATGCAGGAGGTGATGATGGACCTTCTTTTAGTGGAACTAAACGAAAAATTGTTTTGTTAAAAAATGTTTTTACACAACAGTTTTTTGTTTGTTTACCTGCTTCAGAGCAACCAACCAAAATTAGAGCTAAAATGGCAGTAATACAAAGCATTTTTAACTGCATTTTAATTTTTTATTTGTGGTTTTTATTGATGAATTTTATTTGGCACATTTTGCTTTTTATATTTGATTTTTTTGTCCTATCAAAGTGCAAAAAAGCTACCAAATCTGTCACCCCATGTTGCAGCTTTATTTCTTATTTTTCTTTTTTAATACGTTTACAATCTTAATAGTATTTTTAATTTAAAGTTTAAAAAAGTTAATCCAATTAGCAAAAACTAAACCTAACAAAGGAAAGTGCAAGTTATCAATTTGTAATATCATTTTGCTCTGATAAATAAATTGTGTGCCAATTAAAGTCAATTATCAAAGTTTGAGTCATAAATAACATAAAAAAGTTTCATTTAAAAACAATTTGATCAGTTTATTTAGAAAGTTTGTTCCCAATTTGTATTAATTTAATTTGAGATTAGCCTATATTTCACAAAAAATAATTTAAAAATTTATTGCACAAAACGTAAAAAACAAGTCATTAGCTAACGATTATAAAACTTGAAAAATGACCATCATTAATTGTCTGCTAAAGTGTTTTGCATTTTCAGAAATACTTTTTTTGCATAAATTACTATTTATTTCTTAAGTTTTTCTTTGAAATCATAGAAAACATCAAAACATTTTTCCAGTATTTTATAAAAACTTTGTAGTGCCGACATTTTGTACACAAAAGTTTACTATTTTATGCAATAAAAAAATTAATCAAGATGGCAACTAAAATCAAAAACTCCTTCCTTAAATCAGCTGCACAGTTGTTCAAAGCAATATCTGAGCATTTCAGTAGCTATTTGCAGGTTTTCTACCCTGTCCGAGAGAGGAAAATGCTTCCGCCCGGCACTACTAAAAATGGACAAAAGCAAAAAAAGCAAAAAGAGCAGGAGATCAAGATGATGGACAGGCGACAGCATCTAGTTCCGCTGGCCAATTTAGCCTACATTTACCTGAACACGCTGTGGCAGTTTGCCGCCAACGGCTTCCGGTACGATCCATGGGGAATGCCCACCTTGTTCACTCATCGAATCAGCCCCCAGTCACTGTGGCCCATCACCGACGTGGTGCTGATCTGCGGCCTGTGGATGCCCACCAACACCTTCCTCTGCCTGTACTGGGACAACAACTGTTGGGAAGTGTACCGGAAGTGCCTGCTGCTGATTGACTACCGACGAGTGGGGGCGCGGAGCGGCGCACCGGAGGTGACACAGAACGGAAAAGGTAATGAAAGAAAAGGATCAGTTTCAAATCATCTAAAAACCATTTTTTCCTCAGTTTTATCCAGCCAAGAGTGCGTCCAGATTGCCGCCTACCATAGGGTGATGAAGCGGGCACTTCCGCTGACAGCCGCCGCAATCTACGCCTTCATCTGCGCCTTCTGTATGGGCAGTTTTTTCCGGCATTGGAGCGGCTCACTAGTGCACGACTTCATTATGCTCCCGGTGACGGGCCTCTTCCTCTTCCACGCCACCGTCAGCAACTGCATGCTGATGGGCCTCTTCTGCGTCACGACACGATTTGTGGCACGGCATTCGCCAGCGACTGATGCTGGCGAAAGGGGGCAGTTTTTTGCGGCAGCTGACTAACGGTAACGGCGGTAGTGAAAGTAGTACTACCCTCATTAAAGGTTCAATGAGAAGAAGGCTGACACGAGCACCGGCCCTAAGAGCCACCTTCAGCTTCTCTCGTCTTCAGCTGTGGCGCTCCTACCGGTGGCTGCACCTCGAGCTGGTCGCCCTGCTCGAGCACATCTCCCGGCAGAACCTCTTCTGGCGGAGGTACCTGACCATCTACTTCTTTGGCTACACCGTCTTCTCCGTCTACTTCCTCTACATCTACTTCTTCTACCTGGAGGACAGTAATGCCGCCGGGGTTCAGCTCAGCTGGACAATGCGGCACTTCTTCAGTCTATTTGGAGTAGAGTACGCCGCCCTCCTTCTTTTCGTCACCTGGCAGTGCTCGAAGATTGCGCGGAGGAATGTCCTCCTTCACCGGCGCCTGATCACCATTGGCCGGCGGCTGCAGGCTCAACAGCAGCAGCAGCATGGGCTGACGCTGGCTGACCGCCTCAAAAGTGACCAGCTGGCCGCTGATCGGCGGGACATTGAAAAGTCGAAAACAGGAGCCTTCACGCTGGCCACCGGATATCCGATCAACTCGAAGATGTTTGAGATGCTTTTCAGCTACCTTTCAGTCATCTTTATGATGGTTTTTAAGGATAATCATCAGAACAAGGCAGCAATGGGGTAGAGTGCTTGATGATGAGGATGATGTTTTACAAGAAAAAGTGCCTGTTAATTGAGTGGTAAATAAAGGGGGCAAATTGCAAAAATNTTTTAAGGATAATCATCAGAACAAGGCAGCAATGGGGTAGAGTGCTTGATGATGAGGATGATGTTTTACAAGAAAAAGTGCCTGTTAATTGAGTGGTAAATAAAGGGGGCAAATTGCAAAAATAAAAATATTGTTTTTTGTTGTTGCCAAGCAATGTACCCAACCAAGTACTGCAACAGGAAAACAGCTTTTAAACCAGGAAAAATCAGCCGTCACAGCTGAACGAGTTGTAAAGAGTTCACCACCACCACCACCACCAGCTGCAGCCTCAATGAGGAAAAATGAGGGTAGACAAAAGGTAATTGTAGAGTGCAGAGAAAAAAATGTAGCAAAGACACACATACACGCACACAAACACAAATAAAGGATTTTTTTGCACAAGCAAAGGCTATACTTTTCTTCTGGTGCACTGCTATGTCTGCTGTGTGTGTTTCGCATTAAAAATCCCCCAATTGTATAAAGAGGTGATTTTTGTTCTTTTGTGCTAAACTAAAACTATTTTTTTGTTTAAAAAACAATACATAATTTAAAGCGTGTTTTGGTGCATAAAAGAGAAGTAGCAATTTGATGAATTCGACGGTTTTTGGTGCTAAAACAATCAATTGTGTATGAAAAGTGTTTTGTGTTTTAACAATTTTTGTTGTTGTTAAGTTGTTTTGTTTAAAATGCTCAATATTTTACTCAAGTACATCGCTAAAAGGCTTTCTC